GCACGAGAAAAAAATTAGATATCTACATACGAGGGAATTAGGAAATTATGAGTATAATTCCAAGCCTCAAGAAAACTGTCTATGTTGGCCACCACACCCTCAGTTCTGACGAAGAAGAATTTGAACCATAAATGGCGGTTAGCTTTGTCATCCATCTTCACCGCCAGTCACTTACCTCCTCGGTGGCGAAGGTTCAGCAGCGTCCCCCTATAAAAGCTGGGAGCAAATATATGTATTAAATGCCGAAAAGTTAGTTCGACCTCGGCTAGCTCGGCAAATTTGGTAAGCATCCTTATCAGCTTATAAACGTACGACGCAAGCTGAGCTGCGCAAATGCCGTAATAACGACAGAATTCTTTTGCCAACAGAAGAATAGGGAGAGTGTAGCCGATTTGGAAGGGATAGGCGTAAAAGGCGCAGTATCCAGGATGGTGGACATACATCGTATCCCATCCGGACGGGATCAATTCGATGTGATCGGGAAGATCGAAAGGCTCTAGTGTCAGCATCGGGTAATTTGGAGAAATCAGACCTAGTATCAGGGTTGCGAGGAACTATCTCCTCCACCAACGGGAAACTTCCATCATCGACTACGACAAGAACATTCTCCTTGTGAGGGGGAAACACCATCGCCAAAGGGATCGCATCACTCCCTTCACTAGACTCAGAAGGCATGTTAGACATGTTTCATTTAAAGAAAGAGAAGTATCGATCGACGAAGAACTGAGAACCAATGCAAGTTACTCAGAACCTTTTTGAAGATTGAACTAGACTATGATTGTTTGACCAAAAAATATAGATCTTGGTTCAAATAATTAAATTTATATAAGTAAGGGTTAACCTTAGCTAACAATAATATCCTTAGATGAGGTTGTTAAAGAAGCAATAAATATCGTGTGGATCTGGTTGGACAGTGGCAATAACATCTAATAAATGTTCTAGAAGTCAAGAGCAATAATGTAGCATTTAATAGTATTGAACGGCAATCAATGGCATTTAAGTAAAGAGGAGGAATGATCACCCAATAAAGGATGGAATGACTGGAAATTCCTCTTGACAATGATGAATGATAGACAAATCTTTGAATATTTGAGTTATTCTCGGATCTGATGGAAAAGTATGGATAAGAATCTTAGTGAAAAGGTGATGTTTGTATCTTAGCAAGTGAGAGCCGAATCTTTTAGTCAAAGTGTGTTCTTTACAAATGAATATCACATGCCCCTATCATTGTCTCTTTTTCTATTTATATGGGACATGTTCCTAAGAAACCCTAATAGTATAAGTGCAGAGAATATCCACTAGAATGTTCTCTTTAATATCTTATCTTGAAAATTAGCCATTACAGCTCTGCCAACCGTACTAGAATGTTGTACTTAAAACGCAGGACTCTTGACCCAATAGGTGAAAAAATCGTAGGGCTCAATTTTAAAATTGACTTTGGACTTTGAAATGTCTCTTTAGTTTCTTACAAACTTTTTTTGCGCCATTTTTGTTTTAATGTTTTTATAATATGACATATTTCAGACATTTAGATTCTCAATATTTAAATCTTACAGTTTAAGTGTGAGATGAAAAAGTTGTATTTCCATATTTTTAAATTTATGATCTGGTAGCTTGGGATAGAGTCTGTATTCCTAAACAGAATGGAGATCTAAACATCAAAAGCTGTTGTAAATGGAACATTGTTGCAGTAGGTAAACTATTATGGCAATTAACTAGGAAAAAAGACACTCTATGGGTCAAATGGGTTAACAATATATACATAAAGGATAAGGCAAATATATGGGAACACCAACCACCAGTAGACTGTAGCTGGTATTGGAAGAAATTGAACTCTCTTAAGCTTCAAATGGCAGGATGGTATCAAGGTGATAAATACATGTTGACAAAATCGGGAGAATACTCTATGTCTAAGAGCTATCAACATATGTTGGGGGCACTATCTAAGACAAGGGAAGTAAAGCTAATATGGAGTAAAATAATGCTTCCTAAACGGAGATTTATGGTATGGTTGGCATGTCAAAACAAAAAGCTTACCAAAGAAAGGATGCAGAGATTGCAGTTAAAGGTAGAAGATCACAAGTGTTGCTTATGTGAGCAGAATCAGGTGAAGACTCAGACTCACCTTTTTGGACAATGCAAATGGATAGCAGGCCTCGGAGAAAATTTGAGTAGCTGGGTGGGAATCAAAATTCATAATAATGAAGCAAATAAGGTGATTAAATGGATCCAAAGAAGAAGATGGAGCCAAGTTCAGAAGGAAATAGTAGCTGCTGTATGGGGTGTCATGATGTATTATACCTGGCAAACAAGGAATTGGAAAATATTCAGGAAGGTAAATGTGAGCATAGACCTTGTAAATGATAAAATAAGGAAAGAGATACTAGACAGAGTCGAGATAGTGTATAGGGGAAGAAGAGATATGAAATGCAAAGAGTTGCTTCAGAGAATATGTAAATAGAGAATTCTGATATTTGGAGATCTGGTGTCTGAATATGTTTCAGACACTAGAGGCTCATTGGTTGTAAAACTGTTTTTCTGGTTGGAATGGTAATATTCACAGTCGTTACCAAAAAAAAAAAATTATGATCTGGTGCCAAATACTCACATTTGAGTCCCGATTATTTTGGATCCACACCACATAAGCCCATTAAAGAGGAAGTCGCTTCCTACTAGATTTTTGTTTTCATTAAAACTCATACTCTCTTCAAGAATGACATGGTCTAGAGTACAAATGACTAAGTTTTAGTGTTAACTCGAACATTTATGCACAAATTTTATGTTCTGATTGGACGGTTTTCTATTGAGATCCGAAAGAGAGAAAAAATATGATGTATATACAGTAGATACCTAGTAAATCTACAAGCCAAAGGATGGCAAAACTGAGTGTTCGAATATTTACAAAACCTCTCGAAAACGTGTAAAGGATTAATGCTACTGTACCAATCAAGTAGAATAATTTGCCAGCCTTTGTCAAGAATGTAATGAGACAACTACAAATGGCAGGAGCTTGAAATGATTTCAATCAATATCTCAAAGTATCTTCAAATGACCAAATAAAGCTAGGAAGAAGATAATGGATCCATCATTTTGGTGGAGCGTTAAAGGTGGAGAACTAGTAAAAATAGCGTGGGGTAGCCATTATTTAAAGTGGTATTTACTTTTTATCCACCATTTTTAAGCAAAAGTAGCCACTAGTCAATTAAAATTAATATGAAAAGACTGAGTTACCCTTTCCTTCCCAAACGGAATTACAGTGGATTGGAAAGACTGGTGGGCGGAGCTAGACTTGGCGACGATACAAGCAATAAGTAGAAGTCTCTTTTTCAGTATTTGAAGAAGAAAAGAAAAGAGATTAACAAATTGTCAAATCGAATAACCAAAACAGAGACTTCTACCAATTTGTTAATCTCTTTTTCTTCTTTAATACTCCTACTAATTGGCTTTGACCTTAGTCTTTCAATTGTTATTGCACGGTGTTGAGCCAACTGAAGTTTCTTAGCCCCTTCTATGGCTAGAATGGGAGAATTTCTGTTCAAAAAGTTCTGTTTAAATTTCTCTCTGTTATTATCAGTTTAATTTGTGTTCTGAAGATTAGCCTTTTGGTTAGGCATCATAAAAAAAATTATAAAGAAGAAGGAAATCAAAAGTTAAGGACACTTGGTCCTGAACTTAGTATTACAAGTTCAAAAGTTAAGGACACTTGGTCCTGAACTTAAACTAACAAGCTCAAAAGTTAAGGACAATAGGTCCTGAACTTACAGTTACAAGTTCAAAAGTTAAGGACCAACAGGTCCTTAACTTTGGTTTCCAAGTTCAAAAGTTAAGGACAGACAGTCCTTAACTTACAGTTACACGTTCAAAAGCTAAGGACAAGCAGTCCTTAACTTACAGTGACAAGTTCAAAAGTTAAGGACAATAGGTCCTTAACTTTGATTTCCAAGTTCAAAAGTTAAGGACAGACAGTCCTTAACTTACAGTTACACGTTCAAAAGTTAAGGACAAGCAGTCCTTAACTTTGACTTACAAGTTCAAAAGTTAAGGACGCTTGGTCTTGAAGTTTGAGTTCCAAGTTCAAAAGTTAAGGACATGTAGCCTTGAAGTCCTGAACATAGAGTTCCAAGTTCAAAAGTTAAGGACATGTAGTCTTGAAGTCCTGAACTTAGAGTTACAGGTTAAAAAGTTAAGGACATGTAGTCCTGAAGTCTTGAACTTAGAGTTTCAAGTTCAAAAGGTAAGGAATGTAGTCGTGAAGTCCTGAAGTTAAGGACGTGAGCAGAAGGGTATTTTCGTTCGGGCAGTTAAAATTTATTAAAGCAGTGGCTAAAGACTAAAGATATTTTAAGCGGTGGCTCAAAAGTGAATACATATGTTATTAGTGCCAACCGTGCACTTCCCTCGGAGAACTACAGGCAAATTATCAATTTGGGTAAAGCCAAAGGCATAAAAACAAGGATATATCTTGAAACGGAAGAAAAGCAGTTGTGGATCAAATCAATACTCATGTCATTTGACCATAAACCTTCAACGGGTAGTTTGGTAAGGTGTATAAGAATAATGTTAAATAAGGTGTATTAGTAACGCAAAAATTAGTAATGCAAGCATTAGTTATGTAGAGGTTATTTCTTATACAATATTTGGTGTGGTGTAATTAAAAATTAAAATGCATTGCATAATTTCTAAGAAAATTAGGGGTCGTTTGCTAGGGTGTATAAGAATAATACCGAATAAGGTATATTAGTAATGTATAGGTTAGTAATGCAAGCATTAGTTGTGCAGGGATTATATCTTATACACTATCCGGTATGGTGTATTAAAATTTAAAATGCATTGCAATTTTTAAGAAAAATAGTTGTTTACAAAAATGCCCTCCATATTATTTAGCTTTCAGAGACTTTAAGGACAATTTTGTCTTTAACCATGCTAATGCATGCATTAATAGCCTTGGTATTGCTAATATCATGGTTTGCTATGTATTAATTATAGGATAATACCAAATAGGTTGTATAACTAATACTTGCATTAGTAATGATAGGTTGAAAAAGTGTACCAAACGACCCCTAATAGTTAACCATATTAAAACGATTAGCCCACTTGTGAATCAACAAATTCAGCTAGAAAACATTATGATGAACCCCAATGATGATGGGTAGCTAGAAGTAATTGTATCTGAATAATGGCCGAAAAAACGAAATCACATCTCGAAGTCCCACGAAGTCTCAGCACTTAACTTCGGCATTTTGCGTTCTTCAAGCAAACAGAGAGATGCACAAATCTGGAGATAGGAAGAAGAACTTGAGTCAGAATGGTCTTAGGGAAACAAAACAAAAAAAATGTAGCACTTCTCCTAGATGCTTCACTTAGCTCACTAGATATCAATAGACCAAACCTTGAACACATTATCAAGAAGCACCAGCAACAAGAAGAAGAAGAAGAAGCTGAAAAAGCAAATAAATTATAGTTCAACTATTAAATAATCCAAATATTTTCACACATAATGCATACCAATAGCGATGATGATAATATATGATGAATGATGACAATAGTAAATGTATTCTAATTTGGGCATTTCTTTGCACACTGTGATAGCATATCATCACATATAGGTGTACACAAATAAGAACATTCTGTTTTGCTATTAACAATTGAAGGCCATTTTTAACTTGTTCATCTGTCCCAAACAACCAGATAGAAACCACACTTATAGCAACATGATGGATCTAAGCTGGTTCTTCAGAAATGCTAAAAACATATCCATCAACTCCAACGAGGCAATGGCCCTTCAAATGGCTATCAGGGAACCAATGCAGAATGACTTTCATGGTCGCTTACACTTAACAGGGAAAAAATCCTTTTGTTTGAAGCACAACAAAATCAGAAAGCCCAACAAATGAATCCATAACCAATATGACATAGGAACATTTATATTACTAAATCCATAAAATGAACTTCCAATTTTAATATTTTTTGACATGCAGCCTTCACCCCAAACAAGAATTTGATCAATTACTAAACTTGTGACATCTAGGAGGTTTAGGCCCTCCTCAGGGGAGACATTGGCTGCTGACTCACAATTATGAACAATTCAAAATAATATCACCAATGGTGTTTTATCACTGAGCCAAAATGATAAACAAACAAGCAAAGATACTTTCTTTCCTGTGTCTATTACATAGACGGATATGCACACGTACGTACCCACCCCCCACCACCACACATACACAGAGAGAGAGAGAGAGAGAGAGGAAGCACCCTTGGAATCCAATCCCTATCCTGAAGCTGTATACAAAACCTAAAGGATACAACCCCATTAAACAATAAAATTATCCCAGTGTACTACCTATTAAACACCAAGGTACAATTACATTCCCTCCATTTAAATGCTCCAAAATCACGTCATGTGATTACAGATTATCCCACATTCCATAGGTTACAAACATGTCTGCCACTGCAAATACCGCCACAACAAGAATAACATACTCAGTGTGATCCCACAAGCAGGGTCCGAGGAGGAGAGTGTACACAGACCTTACTCCTATCTTGGTTGAGGTAGAGGGTTTATTTTCGATTAGACCCTCAGCTCAAGAAGAGCGTTTTCAAAATAGATTTGAAAAATACAAGAGTAAAGACACTGTAATGAAAATACCGAAGAAAAGAAAAGTATTGGTATCACAAATAGTAAGATAACCAAAGCAAAGGAAATAACAGTAACAATAAAATTGAAAAATGAGATAATAATAGAATAATAATAATACTAATAACGAGAAGAGGGAGCAAATCAAGTGCTCTAAACTAGAACCACGTCCTCTCACAGAAAAGAGAAGAAATCGCTCGACTACCTACTAACCTTGTACCCTAATCCTCGACTTCAACACTCTCTTATCTAGGGTCATATCCTTAGTGAGCTGAAGATGTGGCATGTCCTGTCTAATCACCTCTCCCCAATTCTTCTTCGATCTACCTCTATTTAGAGCTATCACTGCCAACCTCTTGCACCGCCTCACTAGGGCATCTGTGCTCCTCCTCTTCACATGCCTAAATCACCTCAGCCTCGTTTTCCTCATGTTGTCCACCACAGAGCCGCTCCAACCTTGCCCTGAATATGTTCGTTACTAATCTTCATTTATGCTACTTTCATCTTCTGAACGTGTGAGCTTTCACAGGCCAACACTCTGCCCCATACAACATAGTTGGTCTAACAACCACTATATAGAACTTACATTTAAGTCTTGGTGGCACCTTCTTATCATATAGGACACCGGATACGAGCCTCCATTCCATCCACCCAGCTCTAAAATGATGTGTGACATCATCATCAATTTCCCCATTTCCTTGTATTATTGACCCAAGATACTTGAAGCTTCCTCTTTTGGGGATGACTTGTGTATCAATCCTCATTTCCACATCCGCCTCATGTGTTGCATCACTGAACTTGCACTCTAAGTACTCTGTTTTAGTTCTACTCAACCTAAAACCTTTAGACTCTAGGGTATGTCTCCAAACCTCTAGTCAAGCATTAACCCCGCCGCGTGTCTCGTCAATTAATAGTTTAATACTATGTCATTTGCAAATAGTATCCACCATCGCCAGTGCAAATACAAGTGTAGTAGAATGTACACCTCCAGTAAATTCTTTAATATTTCGCCAGAAGATAATTTTCTAGTAAGGATCGAGTAACTTTAAAAGCATTGTCCACCAACTAAGACTTTTGTTGGAAAATGAGATCAACAAGCCAGTAAGATACCAAATTCAAAAAATATTCACTTAACAAAAATGAACAACAACAAATATAAGCATGCCAATTGAAATTACATAGCTTAGCTTCGTAACTCAGTTGCAATGGTAATTGGTATGGATGAAAAGCTTGGAAATTATACCTTAAAAGATCCATTTAACTTTGAACTCCTGGACCATTCGAGCCCCAAATTCCTGCTCGTCGTTTGATAAGTAGCCCTAAACACGTCGTCCCCATAAACTTTACGTGAAACCGCAAAATCCCATGCGTTCTTTGCCGTATCATAGCTCGGCTCAAAAGTAGCGAGTCCTCCATGCACATAACTGTACTTCAATTTACAACTTCCCGACCCCATCACGTGATTAGCCGACACCTTGTTGGCCGAATCAAACACCAAAGTCCCATCCAATATTGTTCGATTGCCTCCATGAATATGAATGTAATTCAAATTCAACGGCTTCTCCATAACCCTGATTGAGTTCATAAATTGAAACCGAATGTCCTGAAACCACAACATTTTTAGCAGTAATTAAGAACTACAGCAAATTTTTGTAAAAAAATTGAATCAGTCAATCACTCAACTACATATCAATTTCAAACTAGTTAAGATTGGTTGTATAAATCAATTGTATCAGTCCAATGTATTTAACTCGATCATTTTTTACTGATGGACTAAATTGAAACCAAATGTCCTGAACCACAAAACTTTCAATGGATGGACTAAATTGAAACCGAATGTCCTGAATCACAAAACTTTCAATAGTAGTAACAATTAATAGATAAAGCGAATTTAAAACACAATTAATCAATAAATCAATCACTGCATCTCAATTCTGATTAAAACACAATTAATCTATTTCGTTATATTTAGCTCGAATATAAATCATTTGTATCTATTCCGTTCTATTTAACTACAGAAAAACTTCATGTTTTCACTGACGGACTATGATTTTCGAAACTGACATAACCGAGTCAAAATTAAACACAAAAAATTCAAAAAGAAAAGAAAAAGGAATGATGCAGGACACCTTTTTGGGGACGTTGTATTCGATGATGAATGAGCCAGGTTTCTCAACGGCAAGAGCTAGGCCGTTTAAACTAGGACCGTTGACAATAGTAGCATCGGTCATGGACGCTCGGAGCTTAAAGTCGCCGGCGTTGAACGCGACAGTAGTAGCGGCGGCGGCTTTGTCCGTCTCATATCGAGCTTTGAATGATGCCTTCATCATTTCCGGATGAAAATGGAAGCTTTTTGCTTTGTTTTGATTCCCTTGCGAGCGGGATAAGATTGGGAAATTGAGGCCTTGAGGTTTAGGATAGTTCTAGCAAATCTTCGGGCCGGCGTTCTAATTTGTCTCACTTCTTTTTTTCCAACTAGTCTTAGGTATCAATAATATAAAACTTAAAAAAATTATATAGTACATATTATTAAACTTTGTATATCTTACGTGCAATTATTAAGTTTCACTCGATAGTATTATTAGAATTTGAAGTTGAGTTGAAGAGTATAATAACTATGAACATTCGACTAAGTTATCTATCTATATCTATATTATAATAAAAGCACTAGCTACAGTGAGTGTTAAATTCTTAAAAATTTATATAAATATTATTTCCTCTATTTCAATTTGCATAACACATTTTTCTTATTAAAAAAAATAGATAGATAGATAGATTTTCATATATATTTTTTAGTTGTTAGACGAAAATAATATATACATAGTAATTAATATTAATCAAAGATCCAATGTTATTTGTTTTTAGTCCTCTTGTATTTTAAAAAATATAGATTGAGTTGCGACTTTGAATGATTTTGATACAGAGTTTTAATTTTGTGAGTTAAAATTTTCTTTTCTACTTTTTTTAGGACAAATACCAATAATATTTGTTGCCTTCAACTTTTAAAAATACAATTTCACAACCAAAACATAATTAATTTTGCTAGTAAACTTTGTGACTTTATTGACTTTATTGTACTAATAATCCGTAATTGTAACATTTACCAATTGATGAGATCTTTGACATTGACCAGTTATTTATATGGCTGGAGTTACGTTTTTGTTGCTAAACTAAATGTTTCATAACATTAATAATTTATCATCTTTCTACCTATTTAAAGGCTCTTAGTCTTGATTACTAATCACTATTTCCTCCGTCTTAAATTATTTGTTGTATTTCTCTTTTATACGTCTTTAAAGAAAATATTTAATAGAATGATTTTTTGACTGTTTGCCCTTATTTATGTCTTTAATATAATCTCTCTTCATTGAATATTTACTTTATTTATGTGACATCTCCTTCTTCAAGAATAATTACTACTGAAGATAAAATAGAAAAAATAATTAATTTTATCTTGAACTTCTGAAATGATAAATAATTGAAACATCTATTTTAGACATTACGATAAATAATTTGAGACATAGGGAGTAAAAATTAATTCTTCATATTGATTGTATATTGGCTTGTTTAAACTCTAATTCACCGTCTAACTTTACTTTTAGAATAATCAATAGTACTGGATTAAAAAAAATGGAAGACCAATAATAGTATTTCTTTTCTTTAAATTAAAAAGTAATAGCAGTTCTTAATTTTTTGACTTTAATGTCTTGAATACAAATATAATGTTTAGTGGTTAGATATTAAAACATTGAAAATTTAAATTCCTAAAAATAGTTCAACGTGTTATAAAATAATAAAAGAATAAGAACAATATTGCAGAGAAAAGTAGAGAGAGAGAATTCTTATTGATTTGGGATGAATTACAATGGAATAGAAGCCTCTATTTATAGGGAGAGGTTGACTTAGCCACCAAGTAATAAACCCTAGAATCTCTCTAAATATGGACATTCACCATAAATAGAATTCTATTTATAACACTCCCCCTGAATGTCTATTCAACAGATAATGTGCCTCGTTAAAACCTTAACTAAAAGAAAACCCAATGGGAAAAAATTCTAGAAAAGGAAAAAGAGTACACATGTTTAGAAATGCGCCTATTGGTTGCCTCGTTAAAAACCTTGCAAGGAAAATCCAGTGGGACAAAACCTTGTAAGGGAAAAAGAGTACAACGCGCATTAACTCCCCCTGATGAGAGCGTCAATTCACATCCTTGAGCCTTCGCATCCCGATCTTGTAAACTAGCTTCTTGAAGGTTGACGTTGGTAGAGATTTTATGAACAAATCAGCCATATTATCACTTGAACGAATCTGTTGCACATTAATATCACCATTCTTTTGAAGATCATGTGTGAAAAATAACTTTGGTGAAATGTGCTTTGTCCTATCTCCTTTTATGAATCCTCCTTTCAATTGAGCTATGCATGCTGCATTATCTTCATACAAAATTGTGGGTAACTTGTCACATTTCACACCACATTTGTCTCGAATAAGATGTATTATAAACCTCAACCACACACATTCTCGACTTGCTTCATGAATAGCAATTATCTCAGCATGATTAGATGAAGTAGGCACAATTGATTGCTTAGTCGATCGCCAAGATATGGCAGTGCCTCCACAGGTAAACACATAACCTGTTTGAGACCGAGCCTTGTGTGGGTTAGATAAATACCAAGCATCAGCATAACCAACAAGATCGGGACTGCAATTGTTGCCATAAAATAAGCCCATATCGGTAGTCCCTTTTAGATACCGTAATATGTGTTTGATCCCATTCCAATGTCTCCTTGTGGGAGCAGAGCTATATCTTGCTAAGACATTAACTGAAAAAGTTATGTCAGGCCTTGTAGTATTGGCAAGATACATTAGTGCATCAATTGCACTAAGATATGGTACTTCAGGACCAAGTAGCTCTTCATTCTCTTCTTGAGGTCGGAATGGATCCTTATTCACATCAAGTAATCGAACAACCATCGGAGTACTTAATGGATGTGCTCCATCCATGTAAAGCCGTTTCAATACCTTTTCTATGTAGGCAGACTGATGAACAAAAATTCCGTTTGCCAAATGTTCAATTTGCAAGCCAAGACATAATTTTGTCTTTCCGAGATCTTTCATCTCGAATTCCTTCTTTAAATATTCAATTGCCTTTTGGAGTTCTATAGGAGTTCCAATAAGGTTTATGTCATCAACATATACGGCAAGTACAACAAATTCCGATGTGTTTCTTTAATAAAACACATGGGCAAATGGCATCATTTATATAGCCTTCCTTTAATAAATACTCACTAAGACGATTATACCACATTCGTCCTGATTGCTTTAGACCATACAAAGATCTTTGCAATTTGATTGAAAACATTTCCCGGGACTTTGAATTATGTGCGTTTGGCATTTTAAATCCATCGGGAATTTTCATGTATATCTCATTATCAAGTGAGCCATAAAGGTAGGCGGTAACCACATCCATTAAATGCATGTCAAGCTTTTCATGGACAGCAAAACTAATGAGATAACGGAACGTTATAGCATCCATAACGGGTGAATATGTCTCTTCATAATCTACACCAGGCCTTTGTGAAAATCCTTGTGCAACAAGGCGTGCCTTATATCTTTGTACCTCGTTTTTCTCATTTCTCTTGCGTACAAAGACCCATTTATAGCTAACAGGCTTAACACCATTAGGTGTTTGGACTACAGGCCCAAAAACTTCACGTTTCGCAAGTGAATTCAACTCTGATTGGATTGCTTCTTGCCATTTTGGCCAATCACGTCTTTGTCGACATTCTCCAACAGACTGAGGTTCAAGATCCTCACTTTCTTGCATAATGCTAGATGCAACATTATATGCAAAGACATAATCCACCACTATATCCACTCGATTCAAATTTGTCTCAATATCGATTGGATTTATTGATAGTTCCTTATTTTCTTGAGTCTCGGGCTCAGTGGATTCCACATGAATCTCAGAATTTATTAAATCGTTGATTTCTTCATGAGATTCTTTCCTAGTGTCATTTTGATCATTTATTTTCCTTTTTCTAGGATTTCAATATTTGGAACCTAATGGTCTGCCACGTTTTAGGCGTGCTTTTGACTCATTAGCTATGACACTAGAAGATTGTCCAATAGGGACATCAATACGGATTGGAACATTCTCCGCAGGGATATGTGATTTTGTTATCCTTTTCATATCTGTAAATGCATCTGGCATTTGATTTGCTATTCTCTACAAATGAATAATCTTTTGCACCTCTTTTTCACAAATTGAGGCGCGTGGATCAAGATGAGATAATGATGGATTTTTCCACAAAATTTCCCGTTTGGTTTCACCAACTTCTTCCCCTAATTTTGGAAAAAGTGTCTCATCGAATCGACAATCTGCAAATCGAACAGTGAATAAATCCCCCATTAATGTTTCAAGATAGCGAATAATGGAGGGCGATTCAAACCCAACGTATATTCCTAACCTTCTTTGGGGACCCATTTTGGTGCGATATGGCGGTG